AGTAGCAAGCCTTGCAAATCACACACAATAATGCAACAACTGGCCTTGTAAGTGTAGAAACATTTTTAATTTTAATCTTAATTTTAAAAAATTGAATGTGCATTTATAACATTCTATTTATGTAATGTATGTGTTATTTATGTATCTGTTATATTACCTTGGCATTAAATCAAAGGGGGTTTCTAGTTCAGCTGCTGAGGGAGGGAGTGACTATAAATATGACATCTCTCTCTCTTCTGACTGCCACGATCCATCTCTCTATCATGTTTTCCTCTTTTGGAAAGTTGTGAAAAACAAACACAATAGAAAGTTGCTGTTACAGAAAATTGAGAAATAATATTTGTTATGGTCTGCTCTACACGTAGTTTACTCTGAAAAGTGTGCAGTGTTTTCACTGCAGCTGAAACCAGACTTAAAGTGGTCAGCTGGTGTCCTGGTCTGGCCATACTGGTTAGGCTGCTCTGTTTTGATGGTTTTAGTGGGGTTTTAATCAGGCTGGGAGACGAGAAGCAACAGAACTTTTCTTCCATATTGTGACGTATATATCCAAGTGCAAAGAATTATTAGAAAAGAATAAATGTGGGGCGGAGACTTCGTTCTATGCATTGGGTGTTGATTGGATGTTGAGATGTGGGCGTGACATGCAAAAGGGGCGGGGTTTAGGTGCACTAAATGATTGGCACGCGTCGCCATTTTGATTAAAAATTACAAGTCGATCATAAAATATATATTTATTCGATCTGTGGCTGTATAGCGCACGACAAAAGAGATAGAAAGCAAAAACTAAAGTAAACAAGAAACAGGAGAATACATAAACAACCAGTTTTAACATAGACAACACTGAACAGAAAGAGCTCAAGGCTTTAATACACAGGGACCTTAATCAAGGAGAACAGAAACAGTGTCACATATGCTGGACAGTTGATCCAGAGAGATTGGGCTTGAAGAGCAGTTAAGTAGAATTTAATAGAAACCAAGAAACAAACAGATATAATCCAGTTAGTAACGTTAACAAAGACCAGAAGCTTAACTGAGGAAATAAATACACTCTGGCAATGGGGACAGGTGAGACTCTAATCACACTCTGAAAAACACTGGGTTAAAACAACCCAAGGGCGGGGTAAATATGGGACAGAACACATGTTGGGGTAATTTTACCCAGCAAATTGGGTTATTTATTTAATCCAGCATAATGGGTTGATTATTAGGAAAAAAAGCTATAGCTTTATATTAAAAATGAATGTCTGCAAATTAACGGCGCTGGATCTCGTGCGGGAGCTTGTATCATGTTCAGCGGGGAACTTCAAACTTCAGACCGCCGCCCTGCGTTTCACTCGTAGCCAAAAAATCATACAATTTTCTGCAAGGCATCAGGCGTTTCCATCACGCGCAAAGACCGACGCGACACTTATTAAGGTGACTCAAATTGCGCCCCTGTATGTTACTTTGCATAAAATGAAACGATATACAGAACAATAACAAATTTATAGATACGGAAAATGTACACAAACCTTTATTTTACCAAAGACACGCAACAAGTTGACGGAGCTGCACTGCTCTCTCCTGAAGAGGTCACAACAAGCCCGCAATAAACAACACAATCCCTGGGTTGTTGTATCTGACCCAGGATCTGAGTAACACAAAAACTACCCAAACACTGGGTTGTTACGTCTGACCCAGGATCTGGGTTACACATAAAATCTACTCAAACACTGGGTTGTTACATCTGACCTTGGATCTTGGTTACACATAAAATCTACTCAAACACTGGGTTGTTACGTCTGACCCAGGATCTGCGTTACACATAAAATCTACTCAAACACTGGGTTGTTACGTCTGACCCAGGATCTGGGTTACACATAAAATCTACTCAAACACTGGGTTGTTACGTCTGACCCAGGATCTGCGTTACACATAAAATCTACTCAAACACTGGGTTGTTACGTCTGACCCAGGATCTGGGTTAGTACATAAAATCTACTCAAACAGGGTTGTTACATCTGACCCAGGATCTGGGTTACACATAAAATCTACTCAAACACTGGGTTGTTACGTCTGACCCAGGATCTGGGTTACACATAAAATCTACTCAAACACGGGGTTGTTACGTCTGACCCAGGATCTGGGTTACACATAAACTACCCAAACACTGGGTTGTTACGTCTGACCCAGGATCTGGGTTACACATAAAATCTACTCAAACACGGGGTTGTTACGTCTGACCCAGGATCTGGGTTACACATAAAATCTACTCAAACACTGGGTTGTTACGTCTGACCCAGGATCTGGGTTAGTACATAAAATCTACTCAAACAGGGTTGTTACATCTGACCCAGGATCTGGGTTACACATAAAATCTACTCAAACACTGGGTTGTTACGTCTGACCCAGGATCTGGGTTACACATAAAATCTACTCAAACACGGGGTTGTTACGTCTGACCCAGGATCTGGGTTACACATAAACTACCCAAACACTGGGTTGTTACGTCTGACCCAGGATCTGGGTTACACATAAAATCTACTCAAACACGGGGTTGTTACGTCTGACCCAGGATCTGGGTTACACATAAAATCTACTCAAACACTGGGTTGTTACGTCTGACCCAGGATCTGGGTTACACATAAAATCTACTCAAACAGAGTTGTTACGTCTGACCCAGGATCTGGGTTACACATAAAATCTACTTAAACACTAGGTTGTTACGTCTGACCCAGGATCTGAGTAACACAAAAACTACCCAAACACTGGGTTGTTACGTCTGACCCAGGATCTGGGTTACACATAAAATCTACTCAAACACTGGGTTGTTACGTCTGACCCAGGATCTGGGTTACACATAAAATCTACTCAAACACGGGGTTGTTACGTCTGACCCAGGATCTGGGTTACATATAAAATCTACTCAAACACTGGGTTGTTACGTCTGACCCAGGATCTGGGTTACATGTTACGTCTGACCCAGGATCTGGGTTACATATAAAATCTACTCAAACACTGGGTTGTTACGTCTGACCCAGGATCTGGGTTACATATAAAATCTACTCAAACACGGGGTTGTTACGTCTGACCCAGGATCTGGGTTGCACAAAAAATCTACTCAAACACTGGGTTGTTATGTCTGACCCAGGGGCTGGGGCTGTTATGTCTGACCCAGGGGACAAAAACTACCCAAACACTGAAAAAATAACCCCAAAAAATTACCCAAAAGGCTCAACACATGATTTGGGTAGAAAAAAATAACCCAAATTAACCAATAAAACAATGAATGACTATGGCAAACTAGGGAACAGGAACTAAACACAGGCAAAGTAAGGCAAAATAATATGAAAATAAAAGTTCATGGACACATGGCATTTGTGACAAACAGGTGTGTGGAAACTAATTAACAGCCAGAGAAACTATCTAGGAACTCAGGCAAACAGGAACAGAGCAAACCAAAACAGAACATAACAGAATATACACGTTACTAATATGCCTACATGAATGAATCGTTCATAATAAGATAGCATAGCATGCATTTAGAACATAGACGGATTTTCGTTTCATGCACTGATTCTCACCTGAATTCTTCAAAATGATCACCTGATTCAACTAAAAACTTGAGCACAGTTGCATAATCTCATATCCTAACTTAAAAAAAAAATAGGATAATCTTAAAGCTGCAGTCCGTAGCTTTTCCTCTTTGTCGCCATCTCTCTGTTCGAAATCTGTAACTGCAGTGATTCGCGGAATTATCATCTTTACGTGGGTTGTAAATCGGCATGAAACAGCGCGGATGAACACAGTGCTTTGAGGCGAGTGCTGCTGTCAGTCACCGCGCTGTGTGGATACTGTCATACAGAATCACAGATTCACTTTTTGAAAGTTTGACCAACATAAGAATTTTCATAAGAAAATGTCTTCTGAACAAGTAAGTAACATCCATTTTTGTTCTGACCAACTAAGGGGGAAAAAGCATTCGACATGATAAGCTTCGTTAGATTTAATCAACGCGATTTACAGCAACCGTGCAAATTATAGCCTACTTTGTTCTCAAATTGTTCATGTTAACAACATCACATCAGCATTGCGTGACTAATGGTAAATTTAATGTGTTTTATGGTTACCTGTGTAGTTCAGAATTCATATTCTCCATAATAGCAAAACGAGAAAGGCACAACAAAGGAAACTCCATAACTGTGTGAATTAAGAAAACGTACTGTTACACGATTGAACTATTGAAATGTCTTAACTTACTTGTTCAGCAGAAAAAAGCCGTCTCTTCTTCCGTTTTGAACCCCTTCAAAACACGGAGTTCACGCACTTTTCAAAAGCCCCGCCGATGTTTAAATCCTTGTGTTCGCATGAGACGGTTTCTTTCTCTTTCTCTAGCCACCTTAAATCCGAAGTACAAAGTCTTTTGGGTTTTATAACTGCTGAATCTCCAGTTGACCCTGATGATTGTTGTTTGCATCTTTATGGATGCCATAAGTTTAATCATGTAAAGTGCTGCGAGAAATAGCCGGCTAGCCGAAACTCCTTCTTTATGTGTACGGGTGTGACGTAATGACGCAAAGACATGCTCGAATTTCCCGCGGAAACCCACCAGTACCACTGGAATTAAAATCATTATTACAAGCTAACCGTTTTGAATCTAGCTATGGCAAGCAGATAGTTTTGACCACTGGCAGAATATGTTTTTTTAAATATAAATATTTTGGATTATTTTTAACTTAAAAAAGTTACGGACTGCAGCTTTAAAAAAGTTGATATTGGTTCAATTATTTTGATTTAAAGTAATGGAAAAAAACATAATTTGCCATGACTTATTGATCATATCAGTTTTTACAGTGTGCTGACTTTGCACACACATGTCTGTGTCCTCTATGTTGTATTTAGCTGGCCAGAAATGCAATAATGACTAAATAAATTCATTAATATAAATGCTTGGAGATATTCAGACACATAATGAAATAAGTCATTTGTAATAATCATTTGTGTTTTGCGTTCTCCTGTAGGATCACACTCGTGTGGTCAGTCCCATCATCGATGTCATCAGCCTGGATAACTTTGCGTATCTGGCGGCGTCTGCAGACCTGAGAGGAGGTGAGAGAGTTTTACCACAGTGTTCGTCTCTTTCAGAAGCAATGAGAGGAAGAGGAGAACTTCTTACATGTTTCTCCTGAGAGTAATCTCACACGTGTCTCCTCTATAGTAGCCTATTAGAAATCTCAGACAATATACCAAAGTCTCAGTATAAACCAGTGTTATTTTAGTATTTATCTATATACTTATAGCATTAATGAATATTTAGCATTTTATGTTTTAATTTTAGTTTTTCAACTAATATTTGTATTTTATTTTATGTCATTTCAGCTTGATTTGATTTTAAAACTGTCATTTTTAATAGTTTTTTTATTTATTTTAGTTTACAATAACAACACCCAAACATTTCACCAAATTCTTCTAAAATCAAATGATCCGAGCTTCTATCCACATCAATGTTATAGTCATTTGTCAGAATTTGACTTTATCCGATTGACTTTAAGAATTTATGTCAGTTTTTTTTTTTTTTTTTTTTTTTAGGAATATTAGTAGACAAACATTTGAGAAAGAGCAATTAACATGATCTTTATTTGAGAAAATATGATTCCCATATGCACAATAGCAGAGTGCTCTGTTGGTTTCAGTATTTACTTTCTTTTTATTCATGTTTTTAACAATTTCTTTATTTGTGAAAAATACTATATTAGAATTACAGTATTAAATACTATGATTGCTGTTTATTTAACCCTTTAAGTGTCACCCCCCTTTTTTTGAATATACATGAAAATGCACATTTCGAACTTAAATGGTTGTAATTCAGGAATGCTTTGGAATATAGACGTAAGATTAGTCTCGTTTTAAAGAAGACATTTGGCAGTTTTTGTAGAAGTGAAATAAATTAAGAAAGTGAAACAGAAAAAAAAAGTTATAGAAGTTTGAGTTTATGGAAATGTACAATGTAAAAAAAAAAAATTATTCATATTTTATATAAAATATATATTTTCAAAACCTGGTGGACTCTAAAACTCCAAAAATATCAAAGGCACACATCTGAACAAGTTGTGTTTCAAATTTTAGGTTGATATCTCAAAAAATGAGCTTTCAGTGAGATTTTGTTTGTGCGCAGTACCGAACGCGTCCACTAGGACAACCAGACTCCATTACTGCACATATAAGGGCGCCTCTATTTCCATATGTGTTTTGAGTGATCTGAACCATTATTTCCACAATTTTCATACAATTTATGAAGTAGACATCCTATTCAGAATGGGAAGTTTGGCAGATTTTGATATGAATTCAACCTCTTAAGAAACACAAACAAAGAACACGCATGTGCGTTATAGCTCGCTGCCACCTCACAAATGGTGAATTTATTATTTTTTTCTTTATATTTAAAACATTTTCAGACCTTTTTTTCTAAAATAATTGAATGGATGCTATCTTTTGAACTATTGGCATGAACTGAGGTTTCTACCACTTTTTCATGATTTTTCATGTTCATTCCTATTTCAAAATAAAGGTCTGAACACGCCTTAGGAGTATGAAAATATTCTTGTTGCAAATTGATAGATTACGGCTCCTCTGTAATTTATTTTGAAAATCAGTCACCAAATATGGAAACTATAGATTCTAAGCTTTCAAATGATATATAGTTTTCAAAAGATATTATTGTTTTAAAAATATAATGGCAAATGTCCCATCTGTGGGACGGTGACAGTGTTAATATATCCGTAACACTGCAAAAGGGTTGTGTACACATTAACATTACTTAATAGTAAACATGCATTAAAAATCTTTGGTTATGTAAATGTACATATACCAATTATTTTTAATGGTAAAATAAAGTGATGTAACATCATTAAGAAAGAACTAAGGTGATGGACAAAAGTATATTTATAGACAAAATCTATAAATGAACATTAACCAAGATACGTTAAAAAGAAATGTATTAATTCATGATGCCTATATAATGTAGCACATGTTAACTCTGCAAATGGCAATGTTTACAACCTTGCTATAAAGCGTTTGGAATCACTAAATCATAATACCAGTTATACGCCCCAAAAGCATAAGATTTAGTCTCACCACTTTAGAAGTAGAGGTGCCACCCTGTATTGGCCACCAGAAATACTTATTGGTCCTCCACTAGTCTGATTGCTGACAGATTAGAAATAACTGCATGTGTTTATTAGAGATCCAGGAATAACTGGCTCACTTTCCCCCTCTGACATCAGGTTTCGACTGGAGTTTACACTTCAAATGGGAGCAGATTCCTATCGAACAGAAAATGGCAAGAAACGACCCAACACAACCAATCAGGTCTGCAAAAAAAACCTGTAGTTTGCCATGTTGTCTTATTTGTTATTTTTTCTTAGTTTGTGGCTCTCATATAATGTTGGACTGTTGAAGGTTAAATGGATCCAATCCATAAAATTTCAAAATAATCCACAATAAAAAGGATTTGATGATGCAGCCGTATAACCGTATTCAAACCGGATCAAAACAGTAATCTAGTATTTTAATGACAAAAGTTCAAATAAGTGAGCAAGTGACAAAATAAAAAACAACTGATGTTATTTATCGGTTGTTAAAATAGGTTTCGGTGTCAGCCCAAAAGAATCCTATAGATGCATCCCACATTTGAACTGTAAAGTTGTTTAAATTGTGCTTTTTACAGTCATCCTGTTGTTTAGTATGTTACCGTAGAGTAGACAGACATTGTTGTGCCCAGCTTAAAAAAAGCCTTACATTTGTTTTTTAAAACCCTGCAAATACCCTGAATACTTTTGGGACCACTTTTAGTCAATGCCATTGCCTGTTAATAATCTGACTTCCAGGTCCCCCCTTTTTGAATTGCATTCTCTCTCTCTCTCTCTCTCTCTCTCTCTCTCTCTCTCTCTCTCTCTCTCTCTCTCTCTCTCTCTCTCTCTCTCTCTCTCTCTCTCTCTCTCTCTCTCTCTCTCTCTCTCTCTCTCTCTCTCTCTCTCTCTCTCTCTCTCTCTCTCTCTCATATACATACAGTACAGTATACTACGTAAAAAAATCTAGGATATTTTTGTTTTAACCGAGAAATAAACAACGTTTTAAAACTTTGCGTTTTAAAGTTTTGACATAAGACAGATAAGACACATGTAAAATTCTTGGTCAATAATAAAATGGAAGCAAATTAGTAACAGAAGATCTACAAACTCAAGCCCCCAAGAGCTTTTATAAAACTAGAAGCATTTTTACTGTAGTGGTCTCAGACCTTTCAACCCCACTTAGTGTGTAAATAGTATATAACAACCAAGGGCGTAGGTTTGATTTTGACATTGGTGGGGACATAAAAGGAGCAAAAAACAAAACAAAAATCTTTATTCAGGGATTGACATTAAGGTTTTTAGACTTATAATGAATATAATATATAGAGCACAGCACTTGTGTGAATTACACAGTGTTTTGGGGGGTCTTAATAACTCTGCGCATCACCTTATTTTAATATACAAAATTAACTGAACCAATGATGCCTGTGAAAGAAAACTCGACTGGGATTCTGCTGTTATTGAAGAAACACACACAACTTCCATGCGCATCTGATTGACAGATCAACTTTTCATTCGCTCTTATTTCACTGTTATTTTTAGTTTTGAGGATATTTGAGCTAACATTTTGCTTCATAGGTTTAGTTTAACAAAATTAAGTTAAAGTTAAAGAGGGTAAACTTTATCATTCAACTGAACTGTGCACGTAGGCTATGATTCAAACATGTGCCTTACTCTGTCCACTTAATGAACGTTCCTTGAATTAACACAGTTTTCTTAGTAATGGTAATGATGGTATGAGCCATTTCAGTTGAATTAAAATAAAACAACGGTGGTTATATATACAGTGTTTCCCCTAGGATTTTTTTCAAGGGGGGGGGGGGGGGGGGGGGGTGGGGGGCTGCTAGTGTTGTGGAGCGGGCGTGTTACGGATACGTGGTGTAATTTTTTTTTTGGAATCAAAAAGCATGTCTAATTAATTGAAATCATGTATTATGAATCATTAAACTTATAATTTAAAAAAAAATTATATGAAAAAAAATTTCACACTAATTCTGTGTTGTGCTTTTTTTTGGTAATAAAATGAAGACATAAATCACAAATTTGATCATTTATCATCAATTTCAATCATATGAAATTAAATAAACTTTTTGTCAAATAACTTGCTGCACAATGAGCTTTACTGTTAAAATTAAAACATGGATTATTCCTTAATTTCAGTTTTGATGATAATTTATTTGGATTAGTGTTAGTGTATTATTACATTGGGACATATCTAAATTCTAAACTACAACAGTAATATATTTCTGTCAGTTTAAACGAACTTTTATTTTGACGGGTTGCCGTGAAGACCTTTTGAGTTTCTGTGTGTTTATGTCATGATAGTTTTTCTCAAATGAAGCGTGAAATGATCACGAAGTGACTTTCAGAGTGGATCTAGAGCCTAGAGAGGAAGTTCATGCATTTGTGTCTTCATATTATAGGCCAAAAAACAGCCCAAGCGTCACACGTGCTTCAGTGTGTGTGTGTGTGTGTGGTAAATGAAACTGCGCGTCGGCGGCACCATTCATTCACACAGAACATGCAGGGTTCGTATTTAAATAGTCTTTGTGTTTTAATATTCACAAACACTAGTCTACATCGCGATTTGATTTCAAGTGTACTGAACTGATTTCAATTTTTTCCTCAAATTTACAAGTTCCGTGAAATTCCACGTTATACACTAAATTCCTTTTTTATGACTGGATTTCGTCAGCATTTTAGGGCGGGCCGCCCCCCCAAAACAATGGTAGGGGAAACACTGATTTGTATGTATACTCTCTCTCTCTCTCTCTCTCTCTCTCTCTCTCTCTCTCTCTCTCTCTCTCTCTCTCTCTCTCTCTCTCTCTCTCTCTCTCTCTATATATATATATATATATATATATATATATATATATATACTGTAGTCAACATTTGAAGTGGATCAAAACCTTTCATCAAAGTTATACATGATTTTTGAACAATACCCGTTCTTGTATTAGGACAACTTTGATGAACTTTTTTGATCCACTTCAAATGTTGACTACAGTATATATATATATATATATATATATATATATATATATATATATATATATATATATATATATATATACTATATATTGTTTTTTATTTATTGTTATTTTTTCATCAAAATGATTTCTAGTACTAGGGACAATTTAGTATAGCTGAATATAGGGACTAGCATGTCATGTCCCTAGCATCCTACACCCTATATCTATACTCTTGACACTAACTGCTGTTCGTGCAGGACCCCTGTAATTGCTGGAGGGATCTTCGTAATGGAAAAAGGCTGGTTTAATCGTCTGGGCCAGTATGACACTCACATGGATATTTGGGGTGGTGAGAACTTTGGTAAGTAATAAACTACCGTAATAATCAACTAGACGTCTACTTCTAAAAACCCGTATGTGAAAAGGGTCAATAGCGAAAAAAAAAAAAAAAAAAAATCCACAATAGCATTTCTATGACTTACCAAAAAAGGAAAACATATTGAGAAATTGATTACATTGGTAAGAAGAAAGAACAATGCAAATTTATCAGCCGTAGTACTACAAACACTCACTCGGCAGCGTTAACTAGTTCTCTGTAATTTAATGTCAAGGTAATATGTATAGTCTTATAAATGTACATGATGAAAATGAAAATATAAAAAAAATTGCTAGATTTACAATGTTATTAACTGCGGAAACACGTCCATCAGAACATGTTTTGTGTTTAATGTACAGCTATAAGGAGAGGAATTTGGACAAATAAAAGTCCTGTCATGAAACTCTAGATGGCGCAGGCTGATCGGTCCTTAACTCAATCTGCTTGCAATCACATCGTTATCTATTGGGCACAGCTGATTGGTTCCTGCTGTATCAGTAGCCAATGAGCTCGCTGCTCAACCTTCAAATACTTGTAGTCCAGTCATTTTATGAAAAAAGGTTGAACAAATTGCAACAGAAGCAACTCAACTGATTTTATATCCTCAATATGTCCTGAGTAAGGAAAAAAAACCCAGAAGAATCCCATTAGGGGAAAGTTTCGAAAAAGACCCGAATATAACCTATTCATCATACGCCTATTCATTCTTTTTCTCACACGAATAGTGTAAAAATATTAACCTTTAGTTACTGTAAGATGTCAACAAGATTTAACAAGACATTTTCACCTGGCTAAACCCAATGTTTAGATTATGTTGTGTTACTTATGCAAATTAGCACATACGTAATTAGATTATGCACCGTTTGCCCATGTTAACAAACAATTTCAAAAAACGTGTAATACATTTTTTGTTTGTCTTGATGTAAGTAATCAACTCAGTGATTTTCATGATGATATCTAAAGGTTAGAAATGTTACACTATTCACGTGAGAAAAAGAATGAATAGGTTATATTTGGGTCTTTTTCTAAACTTTCCCCTAATGGGATTCTTCGGGGCTTTTTTTTTTCCTTACTCAGGACATATTGAGGATACAAAATCAGTTGAGTTTGCTTCTGTTGCAATTTGTTCTAGGTTGACCCCCATTTTGGCTTAAAATGACTGGACTGTTGGTCAGCGGTTTCCGAAAGCCTCCTCCTTCCCCAGCTCCACCTGTATAGATCTGCAGTGGGTAATTCATGTACGCTATATTGTACAGCATTACAGTGTGGCTGCCTACAACAAAGAGTTTGATTTCAGGGAAGCCTGTATTGTTTTTTTTTTGTCGCTCTATTGCATTGTTTTTCCTATTTCAAAACATTTGTAACCATGACGTTTCATTCTTGCATAAACAAAATAATTTCCTTAATCTTTTCTTTTTCTTTTTCTGATGTTGTAGAGCTGTCATTCAGAGTGTGGATGTGTGGCGGCAGTCTTGAGATCCTGCCCTGCAGTCGCGTGGGACACGTCTTTAGGAAACGCCATCCCTATGACTTCCCAGAGGGCAATGCACTCACCTACATTAAGTAAGTCGGCCTTTATGTAAGCTGTAATCATATGCCTTACGTCGAGGTGTATGAACGAAGCGCTGTAACATTGTCTGTGTGTGTTGTAGGAACACGCGGAGAGCGGCTGAGGTCTGGATGGATGAGTATAAACAGTATTACTACGCCGCTAGACCGTCAGCGCAGGGAAAGGCCTTTGGGAGGTCAGACATCTCTGATAACTTGTATACACTGTGTTTTATGTAGATCTGGTTATGGTGAGCTGGTGAAAGGCCGTTTTATGAGATTGTCATGATTATATTTACCTCTGATTGTAAAGGAATAGTCGCATCCAAAATGAAATCTCTGTTGTTGTTTACTCGCCCTCATGGCAGTCCAGTCTGTGTAACACAAAAGAGATGTTTAGCAGGATATTCACGCTGCTACATATACAATAAAACTGACTATCAAGCTCCATAAAAGTACTTTAAGTTAATATTTTGGCTTGTCAAGATGTGTCATGCCAGGTTTAAAAATCAAACAACGTACACTGAAAGAAAATGGTAACCTGTAATGGCTAACTGTTTATGCATGGTTATGACAACTGTCATTAAGTGTCATTCGCTCAATTATGACATTTTTAATGCAAATATGACATTATTTGAGATGTCTTTGTTATGACAACTTGACATAAACCAATACATCATAACCTGTCAGTGTCTTTGCCATGACAACTTGACATTACTAAGACAACACAACCTGTCATAAATATGTCATAAACATGACATAGCAGATTAATTATCGAGCTTAAGAAACCCCTTAGCTTTATGGGTTAACATTACATTAAACTGGCATGTGGTTGGTTTTGACATTGGCTGTCATGAGGCATTATAACATTTTAATGACAAATTCAATGTGTACCACTGTAGTCGAGGTCAAGAAAAATATTCATGACACAGTTATAATGGCCTCATGACAGCCAATGTCAAAACCAAACACATGCCAGTTTAATGTAATGTTAACCCATAAAGCTAAGTGGTTTCTTAAGCTTGATAATGAATCTGCTATGTCATGTTTATGACATATTTATGACAGGTTGTGTTGTCTTAGTAATGTCAAGTTGTCATAACAAAGACATCTCAAACAATGTCATATTTGCATTAAAAATGTCATAATTGAGCGAATGACACTTAATGACAGTTGTCATAAACATGCATAAAACTCCATATTCATGACATGTGTCATGTCATGGTTATGAACGTGTCATGTCAGTCTTATACACACCCCTTCAAGTAAAGTGTTACCATATATTCTTTAAAAGTATATTATATATTTCTAAAAGTATGCTAAAGTGCACTTCTTTTTCACAGGTTTATACCAACAAAACTAAATTTTATTTTAAACTCGTTAGATTTTCAGTGGATATACACACTATTCTAACACTATATTGCATGATCGATACAGTGCACAAGCAGTACAGACTATTTTATGGTACTTTTTTATCTACTGTCATTGTATGGAAAAAGCTCTGAACTTTCTGGAGCAACTTGTGTGTGAGTTAGATGATGATCCTTCATTTCTGGGTGAACTATTCCTTTAAAGCGCTTCTGTCTCTCTACACAGTATTGCAGATCGGCTTGCACTACGACGGAAGTTGAACTGTAACTCTTTCCGCTGGTATCTTGAGAATGTGTACCCTGAACTCAAGTGAGTCGCGTTCACTGGACTGTGTCTGGGCTCTGACGGGCTGCCAGACACAACCTGGACTTTTTGTATTCGGAGTGAAATGCCATTTAACCCTCTCAGGTCGCTGTTCTGAACGTGTTTTGTCGTTCTTGCTTGTGTTTGTCAGAATCCCAGAGCAGGAGGAGGTGTACAGTCTCCTGAAGCAGGACGGGTTGTGTCTGGAGAGCCACGGCACAGACAGTCTGGGTTTGGCCGAGTGTAAGACCACCCCGAGCATACCGGCCTCACAGGTGAAGCTTTAACTGACTGAAAGTAGCATTTACTAACTTAACATTATTTTCAGTCATACATCAGGAGCATGGCATTTTTGGTTTCAAAATAGTTCGGTTTTTCCTGTAAAAATTGTAGGTGTTTTTCCCGTGAGTAAGAGTGTAAAGTTACAAAACTAAGACTAGGCACTGATTTTGTTTGGTCATTGTAATTGCAACACACTCTATTTTTCACATTAATTTCATGTTTGCTTTTTTTTGTTTTTTTGGACCATTAAAGATTGTTTTTTTTTGTTGTTTGCATACTTTTGAATATTGTATATTGCATTTTTGTTTTCAAAATAGTTAAGCTTTTCCTGTAACATTTTTAGCAATTTTTCGAGTGAGTAAGAGTATATTCGGCATTGGTACTGATTTCCTGATTCGATTTTGATTCCACCATCTTAAAATTATTTAAATCTGTTTTGTTTTGTTTTCATTTACAATGTCAACAGACCTTTTTCAGTTATTACTGTCTTGTGCATTATGTGCACTGTAATTGCAACACTCTCCATGTTCACATTATTTTCACATTTGCATTTTTCACAAATATTTTTGGCCATTTTGGTCATTAATATACCTGTACAAAGCTAACATAATTCAGTGACATGGAGAAGAGGAGAGGATTTTATGTGGAATTAAATGCAATTCAGAGATTCGAGAAGCAATGTTAAAAAACTCCACATCAACTCCATGGCAAATAAACAAATAAAAATTTAAAAAGTCAATTTCTCAGATTATGAGTGTGATTCACACACAAATTGTGCATTGCTATATACACTCACTGGCCACTTTATTAGGTACACCTTACTAATACCGGATTAAACCCCCTTTTGCCTTCAAAACTGCCTTAATTCTTTCTGGCATAGATTCAACAAGGTGCTGGAAACATTCCTCAGAGATTTCGGTCCATTTTTAGTCAAACGGGTTGGCGCGTATGGTTGGGTGTCGGAGATTGTGAGATTGTGGTTAGGTCTCAGCAGCAGGAGGGATGTAGAGGTCAGTAAGCTGGGCTGAGTTGAGTGGGGGACGGAGGGGGGTGACTCTGGGACGCCAGGGTCACTGTCACATAGGTGATTTCCCTCTGCTTGAAAACAAAGAAGATGCTGCTGGCGAACAGCGGTCTTTCGAATCGGCTTTGCCCGCGACTCTGGATGACTTGGAGTTAAGAGAACGTCACTTAAGTCATTCCTAAAAAAGGAGGATGTGTTCAGAGTTTTGACGACCGGATACGGCAAAAGTTTAATATATCAACTAGCTGGTTCACTGGTGGGAAACCGCATGGGACTCACTCAGCCACAGCCGTTCGTTGCTCTGGTTGGTTGTAGCGCTATCCTATTGCGTGCCGAGGGATATTGAAAGACAACCGTTTATCCCGCCCCTCGGATTGAGGTATGCCAATTGTGAGTTCCCAGACCTAACATCTTGATGTAGGTCTGGCTTGCCAGGCTAGGAAACCAGTTCAACCCAAGCGCTCTTTGATAACGTGATGATTACGTAACTGCAGATCATCTGTCCATCATCGTATAAAGCCCGCCCTGGCAATTGGACTGGCCCGATGATTTCTGAACCGATCATAATTACTCCTCAATGGATCGAGTCCAGACCGAACTTCCCGTCCAAAAAACCTTGTGGGCGGGGTTCGGGCTGGCATCCAGGCTAGCTCTTCTGCAGACTTCGGTTGTAACGAGTGGTTATTTAAGTTACTGTTGCCTTTCTATCAGCTCTGACCAGTCTGGCCGTTCTCCTCTCCTCTGGCATCAACAAGGCATTTTCACCCACAGAACTGACGCTCACTGGATATTTTCTCTTTTAGGACCATTCTCTGTAAACCCTAGAGATGGTTGTGCATGAAAATCCCAGTAGATCAGCAGTTTCTGAAATACTCAGACCAGCCCTTCTGGCACCAACAATCATGCCACGTTCAAAGTCACTTAAATCACCTTTCTTCCCCATTCTGATGCTCATTTTGAACTTCAGCAGATCGTCTTCACCATAACCGTTCCTCAATATGGGTTATACACAATACTTGTATTCTTGTGAACTTGCACTCATTAACCCGGCCTGGAACAGCCTTACCTTGAGAATTCATCTGGAAATAAAGCGAAATAACTGAGAAAAATTAGGAATATTCCTCAGATATCATGTCCATAATTTATAGCAAAACATCTAGCATTAATTCGATCTCAAACAGATTCATTAAGAGTTATAAGTCCACCACGTGCGTGACATCATTAACCAATGTGGTTGAATGACCACTTTGCGACAATATGGTTTCGGGAAACAGTCGTGACTAGCTAGTTGATTTCTTCAACGATGCATTGTACTGTGGTAGTTAAGCAACGAGTTACATCGTTGTACAGGAAACACAACCTGTGTTTGTTAACCAGTGGATCTCTGAGCTGCTGTGAGTGAGTGGAGGCGGGGCTCATTTGCATATTCATAGAACCGCGTATACTAAATGAGGCAAGCGTGTAGAGTTACATTCAAGCTATTTTATGGCATGAAAAAAATGTTAAATATGTAATTTTGCTGATCTAAGAAGCGTTTTACGGGTAAAATGATTGACTACAGGGGGACTTTAAATGAAAACGAAAAGAGGCAGAGTGGTGATTTATAACATATTTCAATTTATTGTTGCCTAAAATATACACACAGAGATAACTGAGATCTCCTGAGTCGAACTTGGCAAGTCCGAACTTTGCGTACTTAGTATTGAGAAACGCCCCATGTCCACACGCATTGAGTTGCTGCCATGTGATTGGCTGATTACATATTTGTGTTAACAAGCTGTTGAACAGGTTTGCCTGATAAAGTGTGTAACTTATCTATATAACTCTACACCTGCATTACTCACCCAATAATTTGTCTGTATCTTTTTTTTTTTTTTTTTTTAGAAGTGGACCCTGATTGAACCACAGATCCGTCAGCATGACCAGTGTTTGACCATCACAGCCTTCACTGCAGGGTCAAAGGTCAGACTGGAGCCCTGCAACACCAAAGAGTCCAGACAGGTGTGTGTTCGTGTATCTGACAGATGGGCAGCTCGAGTTTTGATGACCCACTGAGAATGAATCATGTGTTTCATGTCTGCGTGTTTCAGAAGACTATTAGCTCTCGGACAGCGCTAGTGTTCTCTGTGGAAGTTATGTCAATTTAAGTGATTTTCTGTTGCCATTTCTGGGCGATTGTTCAGCGTTATTCCTCTTTGTCCTAATATCCTCTCTCATTCTCTGTCATAATAGCCCCATTTTTTCTTTTTCTCTTTGAATATAAATCCTCTGCCATCAATCTGAAACACAACAGACACATATCTTCCCATAAGCCCACTGCATATGGTTCCACTCGCAAGCTAAGTTGGCTTAGCTGGTTTGGCTTTAATCTTTTTCTTTTTTCGTCTCCATCTTTCATCAGACTGACCTCTACCTCTGTCCACTCATTCATGTGTGAAATCTCCTAAAGTCTGAACATGCCTCACAAATAGATCAAATTCCACATAGAGAAGATTTGCTTTACTCTTTGCGTCTCTCCATATGATGAGACCATTATCAAAAATATATATTTTGTTAGTAATTGTTGTGTATAGTAATTGTTGTGTATTACATCTATCACATTAATGTTGTGGGTGAGTCTGTTATTTAAAGGTAGGGTATGTAGAAATTTCCCCAAAAACTTTTTTCCAAATTTGTTTATACCGTCTTTATATATCAATGCATAATTAAAATCTAAGTACTCTGGAAAATAAATTATATAAATCGAGTGTCTGTAGTGCTCTAAGGGCTGTAATAAACACCGCTCATTATTCCATCCGGGACGAATGAAGTGATTGGCTGGGGCAACTGTCAATCTCCCTCGCTACCATGGCGTGTACCACGGAGTGTAGTCCTCATCAGAGCCAACGGTGCTTTCATCGTGGAACCTCTTACATGCAAAACACCGTATATGTTATGAATCTTACGCGAAATTCACCTACATCAGTGTAAGTGATGATAACGGAAAACGTGTATCAATGAAGCTATTTATAGCTTTGCCTTATTTTACTAGCTCGTTACCGAATCAAACTCAATATATTTTAATAATAATAATAATAATAATAGATAGTGATAGTGAGTACTAACAGCCATGTTAGTTGTTTATACTCATAATGATAAAGTTAGTTATTTTATTACTTGTGATTCATGTCACTACATGCACGGCGCTCCTCCAGCTAAGCGAGCGGTCGGCAGCGCGCGTGGGGGCGTGGCTTTGGAAGGAGCCGAGAAGGGAGGGGGTGGGAGTGAATGGAATAATGAGCTGTGTTTATTACAGCCCTGAGAGCACTACAGACACTCGATTTTTATCATTTCTTTTCCAGAGAACTTAGATTTTAATTATGCATTGATATATAAAGACGGTATAAACAAATTTGGAAAAAAGTTTTTTGGGAAATTTCTACATACCCTACCTTTAAGCTGTTCAGTAAACTTTGGAAGTCAATTAGCTCTATTCAAACCCTTACTGATCTGCTTACTTTGTCCCAAAATGTAGATACCTTGTTTTGGCCACTACATCAAACTCAGTGAAAAAAAAAAATTCAGGATGATTTAAAAAAGTTTATTATTTTTTTGTTTTTGTTTTTTAGTGTGTAATGTTGTTGTTTGAGCATGAAAAAGGCACAATTTTTGACATTGATACCATTGGGTAAAACTGCCATATAGATATTTTTTATATTATCTCATAATTTGTCAGCAGGTATATTAGGCTGCTGTCACTTTAAGACCTGATGCACAGATCGAACATACTGTTATATGTGTTTTCTTTCTCAACTGTTTGTTAAAACATTACTTAAACTTAAAACATAATTGACTGTGTTTACGTAAATATTCGCCAAGACCGGCATTTTGACATTATTTTGTGTGTATTTGACTGTTTAAGCGCAATAAGCAGTGAAAAAGAACTCAGTTTAGTGCTGAGAGGAGGATTTATGTGCCGCACTTTGGGTGTGAGAACAAAATCTGCGGGAATGAGTAAATTATGCGCAATACTCACAATCGCACGCCAAAATTCAAGCCCTGTCACACCAACAATATTCATCCGGAGCAAATGAAAGGAGTGAGTGAGGAGAGACGGGTTTGTGTGTCACTCTCTGTGGAGAGATGAGAGAGACAGAAAGAGCAGCTGGTATCGTGTATCTATTCTGCAGAAAATGAGGATTGGAAGCGTTTCAGATATTTCAGGATTGATATGTAACGAAAAACTTTTGAAAACGGGTGTCTATGTCTATAGCAGGGATTCCCAAAGTGTGGTGCGCGCACCCCCAGGGGTACGCGAGCTGCCACAAGGGGGTGCGCGAGAGGAAAAATGTAATGGCGGTCTGTTTTGTAAGTGGGATTTTTCCATACAATAAAATAAAAACCATGAACAGTAAACATTTCCTTTGTAGTCGCTTTTATTTAAAATAAAAAAAACTATAATTTATTAGTTTTTGATAGAAACGTTGAAAACAGCTGCTGTCTTCTACGCACTGCTCTGCACTGCAGCCGGTAACGTGACAGATGTGCTTTCGCGAGTTGGCTGGCGCTGGCTGAGCCAGTGCTGACATATATCACAACCATTGAGTGTTTTCAACCACATAATGTTTATTTTAGGTTTCAGACATTTAAATACACATAAGTACTAGCAAAACAATGATTTTGATTTAGCTGATTTCTATGGAAGCGGCAATATTAATCCTTTTCATTATAATAAGACGACACGTTTTATTCATATCAGATACACATTGTGTACGTAGCTTCACATTTTACCCTATTCTTCTCCCAGTTCACCGGCCTCTTACTTTCATGTATTTCGTGAGAAGTGGAGGAATTGACGTCACGTGTTGTAAATCCAACAGATCCGATTCTCTGAACTGTGGCACAAACTAACGATCGTTATGAAGGTGTTTGAACAATAAAACACATCCACTTGCACATATTTGACAATCGGAATATCAGTGTTTCATGCTATAGCTAATACATTTGTGAACATTTTTGACAAAAAAGGAAAAATGACATAAAAGCAGATCATTCATTCAGCGCTGTGTTGTGGTTGCGCTGTGTCACGTGACAAGCAATGACGCGTCACCATGGAAACATTAAAGTGACAAGTTCTAAATAACGGTCGCCTTGAAAAACTCACGCTGGGGGGTCAGTTAAAATATTTTAAACTTACGTGTGAAAGAGTTAAAAGTGGAAGCTTATGCGTAGCTTTGTTGCATTATTGAAACTTTGTTGATGTTGTTATTGTCATGCGTGTTCTGGTTAAACATGAGTCTTTATAGGGCGATAAAACAAAGCTTTGTTGCATTTTTTTTTTTTTTTGAAGTGGGGATTGGGGGTGCGCCAACCCGGTTGGGACATAGAAGGGGGTGCGCAGGGAAAAAAGTTTGGGAACCGCTGGTCTATAGTGTTGCATCGCCATCTAGTGGCCTGGCAGCAGAATACAGCGTTTTTAGTTGTTTTCGTGGATCCGTGTGAATGGAGATCAGTGTCGTCTGTACGCGGAAAACTCAAAGCAGAAACTTCTCTGTTTTAAGCATATCGTTGTCGTGTAAACGTACCCTAGGTCAAACGGGCACAGGGAAAACCTAACCAAATATCAAAACAAAGCAAACACGTTACATGTGCAATAGAAGAACCGTTTTTGATTCCCCAAAGACTCTTTCAGTTCTTGAAAAATATAAATCATGCACACAACCCAAGTTTCCATCATCACAAAAATATTTTAATGAGCAATGTTGTGGTCAAATGAATTTCCTCATGCTTAGTTAGCAGTTCTTAAAAGAAGCATTTTCTCCTTAGTGTGAAGAACATTTTAATAATCTGAAGAACCTTTTTCCATTAAAGAACCTTTTGTGGAATGGAAAGGTTCCATGAATGTTAAAGGAACATTGATGCCAATAAAGAACTTGTATTTTTAAGTGTATTCTGTACTTCACTTGTGGAAGGTGCCGTCTGTGGGGTGTGTGTGTGTGTTACTGGTTCAGTATAAATGTAATTAACCTGTCTCCACTTTTTCTGTTCCTCCTGTAGAAATGGAAGCCCCGAGGGCCGGCGTTGCAGCACATGATGAGTGGCTTGTGTCTGGATAGCCAGCCTCCTTCAGGCCCACCGCTCATCACTCAGTGCCGCCCCCTGGTGGCCAGCCAATCCTGGGAGCCGCAGCTGGTCACCTGACTTGCAGAGCTCACAGGGAGGGCGGGGAAAGGGGAGGAGTTTCGTAAGGTTGCTGAGCTCGAGGTGCCGGAGGAGCCGGAGGAAAACGTTTGCACACTGTTTTAGTTGAAGGTGCTGATCTCAAACGAATCCAACATGACCATGTCCAAAACATCTGACCTCATATCTTCATCATGGAGTGGCTGAAGAGGGAAAAGCAACATTTTGCCTGCCGAACCGAAGCCTGAATGCCTTTCTCAGATACAGTCACACACACGGCATGGTTTCGTCAGTTGACAGGAGTGCTTCTGAATGTTGTGTTAAGGTCTCCAACACCAGAGAATAGATGTGTATATAAATGCCTTGTACTACATCTCAGACCCATGACCTGTATATTCCCTCATTCCCACAAAGACTGTGTTTTTTGCAGCATAGGCTTCATTAGCTGTTCTCATGAAGGTCTGAACTGTTTCCCCATCGCTGTGGAAGGGTTTCTGCGTGATTTGTTCAGTATTAGGTTGGGATGAAGTGCAATGCTTCGAGATGGAAACGGTCGTTCAGCGGCAGAAAGACTTTACGACTTCGAGAGGTTTATCCTAAACAACAGTCAAAGATTACTGGCTCACTAGACCCGCCTTGAAGATGTTGGAAAAAGAAGGACAGAAATGGCTCTTGAATGGTCCACTAAACCCAGTGAAATAACCAAATGTTATATCAAACAAGCATTGCGATGTCAACTCAAATGAAGTGTAACGCGCTTTTAATGAGCTCTTATTCTGCATGGTACTGTACATCAGCACAATGAAAAGGCATTTGCAAACATCTAAAGCCCAAAGACTGTTTTTCCTCTGTCTTATTTGTTTGCCTTTTGAAACTTTGTATTTACTTGAAGCCTTTTTCATTTTGAACATGTGCTAGGAAGCAGTTATGTTGTTTGAAAAATAAAGACTACCACCAAAAAACAGACAACAATCCAAAAAATCGTGAGTCTGTCTTTGTATGCTACAGTAGTAACACACACACACACACACACACACACACACACACACACACACACACACGTCTGATTTACTATCTTTGGACTCTCCATATTTGTAATGGTTTTGATAGTGTACTACAAACTGTATATTCTCTCCCCTAAACCTACCCATCACAGAAAACTTTCTGCATTTTTACATTTTTGAAAAACATCACTTAGTGTGACTTATGAGCTGTTTACCTCATGAGGACCAAAACATTTCCCAATGAGGACAAGGTTTTTGGATATTGCCATCTTTGTGGGGACATTTTGCCCCCTTAATGTCGGGTTTATCAGGACACACACACACACAAACAAACATTTCACTGTTATTGCATATTGAAAATAGAATGCAGAGATAGACATTTAAAACACTGAATGTTGTCAAATATAATACAATATTTAATTGAAATGTAACAAAAGTAGTAGCTGGCAGTTCTGTCCTACAACAGTGATGCCTTTTTATACATACAGTATACAGTAGTTTTTACACAGGATTTACATGCAGAGCCCAAAATATTTAGGTTGAAAATTATGGGGGATCGAGATCTTTGAGCTCCATAAATAAACACCATGAACTTGCCACATAGTTGTATGAAGCTGGAACTTAATCTGAACCTGCTGAATTTAATACGTCTCATTTGATAACAAGATTTATTATACTATTTCCCCAAGATCTATTTCTTCTTAGATAAAAGAGCACATGAGCATAATTTACTTTTTTTTTTTATTCTAAAAATATGTCTTTTTTTTTCTTCTTTTTTTTATATTAAACAATGATTGAAAAACTCCTAGACATAAGATTAACATTTAAAATGAACCGAGCACCTAAATAGCAAATTTCACTTCATTTTGAATAAGCTTGTCTTTTGCTAGGACCAAAATTTATGAAACACTCAAAACTAAAAAAAATAATTTTGTAAATTGATGTAAAAAATAATATAGGTTAAGTATGTGACCAAGGCTACTTCATTGGTTCACTTGCTGACTGTAGTCTCATGAAGCGACCACAAGGTGTCAGGCCATCATCACAGTTACACACACAGATTTCACTTAGGCTACATAAACATGTTCAGACATTTATAGAATAAATTACCGGTACAAATACTTTAGGAAGCCACACTCATTTGAGTGGCGTTGTGGCCTAATGTTAGAGAGTCGGACTTATAACCCTAAGGTTTTTTCTTTAATACATACTAACGTATTTTAATACATAAAACATAGTAAAAACATCAGTATATATACACTACCGTTCAAAAGTTTGGGGTCAGTGAGAATTTTATTTTTATTTTTTGGAGGAAAGAAATCAATACTTTTATTTATCAAGGACAGTAAAGACATTTATAATGTTACAAAAGATTCTATTTCAAACAAATGCTGTTCTTTTGAACTTCCTATTCATCAAAGAATCCAAAAAAAAAAAAAAAACTGTACAACTGACAGACCAACAACTGTTTCAACATTGATAATAATAATAAATGTTTCTTGAGCATCAAATCCTCATATTATACTGATTTGTGAAGGATCATTTGACACTGGTGATGCTGAAAATTCAGCTTTGATCACAGGAATAAATTACACTTTACTATATATTCACACAGAAAACAGCTGATTTACACTGGAATAATATTTAATACTATAACTGATTTTTGTTGTATTTTTAATCAAATAAGCGCAGCCATGGTTAGCAGAAGAGAATTCTTTTAAAAGTATTTAAAATCGTACCGACTCCAAACTTTTGAACGGTAGTGTATATATTTTTGTATTCGTATATTTATGCTACTTATTGTCCAGTAAACATGTCAGTAAACAGTAACCTTCCCTACAGTTATTCCAAACGGTCACTGCTTGTTGATGGTCTCTGGTATTTAAAGGTCAACACTGTGACCTATGCATCAAATGCGCCTCACTATTGTGAGCTTGAATGTATGTGTGCACACTTGCAGGACTGACGTCATGAGCGAATGAGCATTGTGTTCCTCTACCTCGTCTTTTCATGAAAGATTCAAGGCAGTGAATGACCTGAGAGCACACACAGGTGAGTGGCGGAGAGAGAGATAACTAACAGGATCAACAGCTCTGTCATTCCTCACATTCCTCAGTGTGAATCCCATCCCTCGCTCACAGCTACACCTGCCGTCCTAGCCTGGTTAAAACCAGACCAAATTTGCCGGAAGTTGTCTGGGTTTTCCCAGGCTACCTGCCGTCCACGAGGGCCCTCTAAACACGCTGGTTATTTCTTAAAGCAACACTAAGTAAGATTTTTTACCTTAAAATAATGTTTCCAAAATCGTTTCAGTGGTTCGTAACAGGGTGAAAGGCACTTCTGGATTCGCTTTGCGGCCCTATATCTGATATATCTACGCTATGTAAGATTGCCAGATCGGGTCGAGTTTCTGTAGTTCTAATGAGACATAAGAGAACTACAAATTTGACTTGCTTTACGGCAAGCGTTACAATAGTCATTATTTAGTTTTTCTTCGTTTCTGATGTCGCAATACATCATACTTTCATGAAATCATGCAACATATACCTTGTCTGTGGACATCGTTCATTCCAAAGCCGGTGCTGATAAACAGCGAGCGTGCGTGCGACAGTAGGAAGCGCTAGGCTAAATTATTTACAACAGCGGTAATGGACAATTCCGCTTCCAACCTGTAGGGCGACCGCTGAGGAAAAGTTACTTGGTGTTGCTTTAAAGGGGTGGTATAATGCTCTTTTTTTTTTTTCAAGATGTAAAATAAGTCTCTGATGTCCCCAGAGTGTGTATGTGAAGTTTTAGCTCAAAAACCCCACAGATATTTTTATATATCATGTTAAAATTGTCACTTTTTGAGGGTGAGCAAAAACGCACCGTTTTTGTGTCTGTCCTTTTAAATGCAAATGAGCTGCTGCTCCCGGCACAGGGGGCGGAGCTTCAACAGCTCGTGTCCTTTTACCTCACACACACATGCACTGAACATTTCAAAAGCCTTTTATGTTCAAACCGGAGTCAGACAAAGATGGAGAGACTCAAGAAGAAGTGACACCATGTAGAAGCAACAGGACGTTTCTGAATGGTTAGTTGATGAATTTATGAGCTTATGTGTAGTAATCTTCTAGACATTGATTAGCATATTCTGTCATGATAATCTATAAATCGCGTTCCGGGGGGCGGGGCTTATGTAAATTTTAGGGTTGGTGATGTCACTAACCCGGGAGGAATGTCTTGTAGTCTCTACCAGCCTTTTGTTGTAGTCCTTATAAAGCAATTTCTTTAAAATAACTTTGAGCGTCGTAACTTTGCAGATGTTGTTTATACGCTCAAACAGCAACATTACACACTAACTAAAGTTAGAAAAGTGAAATCATAATCAACCACCCCTTTAAGAACAGTTGTGATATATTGCCACATCTTCTTTTAAAAGAGCTGTGTGCAATCCTTGCAATGGCTTTTGTGTGATGATGATTCAAAACATTACATTGTGGGTTTTACTGTTCTTCTTGGAAGTCTAGATTATTTGATTTGAATAGTGCTATTACACAGCCATGCACAATATATGTATTGCTATTAGCCAATTCTTGCATTTTTAATACTGTATATCAGAATTGGCTGATTTTGGAAGCTATTGCAGCTATACTCATTTAATTTTTACTCCTGTATATATAACGTTTTGCTTGAGTTAAGAATATAATATTCTAGATTGGAGATTTACTGTGAAAGAAGAGTAAAAAAAATATAGAGTTATAATGTCAGACAACACTGTTGGAAAATACAATATTGGCCTGGTTTCACAGACAGGATTAGACCTTAGTTCAACTAGGACATTTAAGTAGCTTTTATAAATATGCCTTATAAAAAAAATACTGGTGTACATCTTGAGATGAACCAATGCCACTGATATATTTTAAGATATATGAGTGCAAGTTGCTTTCAGTTGAATCAGCTCAGTAATGCAGTTTAGTCTGGGACTAGGCGTAAGTCTTGTCTGTGAAACTGGGGGATAATGTTTTAAAATAAGTTAACAGTTTTAAAACAGAAGTTATTGATAGTTGTGAAAAAGTCAAGTATTTCAACAAATTAGTATTAATAAACATTACAATAATATGTCTAATTTACAGTAGTCAAAATTTGAAGTGAATCAAAACCCGTTCTTGTATTAGGACAACTTTGATGAACTTTTTTGATCCACTTCAAATGTTGACTACAGTAAAATTAAAATGCTAAAAAAAAAAAACTACACAAACTAT